TATATCCTTTTATAAGGAATTCAAAGGATAAGTTTCAGTATTTTGACATGCATCAGACAAATAAACAGAGAGTCATGCTACTCAAAAATATCAATCAAGTGAACTCATTTCACCAACCTGTTGTAATGTATGCGATGACGTTGCTGTAACTCGTCGATGTGCTTGACCACAAGCCTCACATAGAAGTTCATTGCATTGCACGCATTTCATTGTTGCCGTTTGCTTATCTGGACATGCCGCAGTTTCGCATACTCTGAATCTGATTCGTATTTACAGTTGAATGTTCAACGTTGTATTCTTATTTTCACCATTCAATTTTTCACTCTTTGCAGAGAACGTTATAAATGAATGCAGTAAGTAGCAAATTAACTAGGGTCATAATGATATAACCTATTGAGGCTATCATTCGGTGTTGGCAGTGCAAGAATGTGCTTGTCACAGCATTCTATGTGACATTTCGGACATATCAATCGACTTTTTTGGGCATCACCTGAAAACGATCACAATTTTGATATTGATTATAATTGAGTGTAATGAAAAGATGAAAGTGGATCATGATGCAAAAAATACAATATTTACATTGCTTACGTTCAATACATTTTGCCTTACATGCACTACAAAATGCATGTAAACAGGGTAAGAGCCAAGATGCTGACTTCGAATTTTGAGCATTTCGATTAGCAGCAGCTGAACGTGCACGGAGTCGTATTCCACAGTCATCACATAATTCAAAATTCATTCTCCTATGATCAAACCTTATCATTTATTATTTTCGATGTATGCGTAATCTGAATGTTTTCGATAAAAATATACCACTTTGACTGTCATTAAGTTTGCTTTGTTTCTAGACAATAGCAATTGCAGAATGTTTCCTAGGTTTTACACTGCTCTTTTATTAACCACATGAAAATGAATCTATCGAATGAATCACACTTTCACAGTCATAATTATTTAATTTCTTACAACCTTACTCAACCACTTCTCATTTGAGCATGAATAAGAACCTCTTCAATCAATCAATCAATATATTAACCAATCAATCGGTTTTCGTTTGTTCACTTCAAACGTTTAATAAACTATAATAATAAATGCATGTAAGCGATATCCATCAAATGATAGGTTTTAAAACAACACAATGTCTTGATAACAAAAACAAACACTTCTTCATTCATAGATTGATTGAATATGTAAAAAAGGATGAAACCGCCTCGATTGAAAAATTCTTTTAAGAATTACGTTCCATAAATGCGTTTAACAAATAAACCACTACAACAAAATAAAACATCTATCATTTCCGGATTATCCTCTCACCATCTGCACTCTCTGATCGTTGTTGATCCCATCTCTCGCTGTCTGCTCGTCCGTTATCTGACAACGAACCGAAGTAACACTGAGCAGTTACGTTGGTGGTCTCAATTTCTCTCTTCTCATCACATCCAAATCGAGAGGGAAACTGAAGCAGGCATGACCCAGCTCAGCTCGAACTAATGCAGCATATCCTCTTTGATCGCCACTTTGCATCCAGATATTTCTATTTTTATATATTCTTTTAATTCGAGTTGGGTCGAGCACTCGAGTATACACGAGGTTTCCGGGCCCTCCAAATCTACCCTTAGCTTGGATATCTTCAAGTAACTGAGAAGCTTCTTGAAGTCCCAAGATCGGGAATTTCCAGCATGATCTTGTCCTCAACCAAAACACAGCACAAAGGGAAGCAAGTGAAATAAACCGAAGGTAATATTCGGAGGCACTCGACCCTAACCTTTTTCCTCGGAGACTGCCGTCCTTGGACGCCCCCCCCCCCCCCTCCCCAGCATGATTTCGCCTTTGACCCAACTTTACTTTCAATGTTCGACCAACAACAATCCTTATGTATCAATTAATAGGATAGATAACTTCAGTAAAACCATTTTGGTATGCAGATTGGGATTCCTCATGAAGAGTGGAATATAGGCGTTCCAAATGTTATTGGAGAATATCTGTTCAGCGGGAATGGAAAATACCCATTTATTCATTTCTACGAAAGTGTGCAATACATTTTGCACTCCCATATTTGAATCTTCCAAATGGTTGAGTAATGAGGCGATTAAGTAGTGAGTAATTATGCTAAAAAATTGGATTAAGTCGTTCATATTCGTTCCGGGTTGATGAGATAATCTTTCCTTATCGTCTGCTAATTCAGAAAACGTTAACAGTTCATCTTGAAAGAACGAGAAGAAGATGTTCCGGCACTGCCTCGTCTCACTCGAAACTTCCAATAGCTCACCGCATCCAAAGATCTTTGCGAAGAAACGCTAGTAAAGCAAAACAAGATTGAAATGTTGCTTTCCATATGGAGATTAGTGAAGGAAAAGCGACTGGTAGGCTGCACTTGAGTCAGGTCACCGTCCCTGAGGCTGATCAATTAATTATGCACGAACAAGGTTCATACAGCTCAACTTGATAAATGATTCCCGTTAGCTGAACGGAGCCAAGACCGAAAAATTCTGATATGGAGAGATAGACTATAATTCAGTAATATGCTATAAAGATATGAAATGAGGGAATTTATAAACGTTGTAGAAGAGAGCTTTAATTAAAAGAAGAGAAGATTTGAGGAATCCTGAACGAATGCGACCTTTATCATCTATCGCTCGCTTATCATCACAGTTCAGTTGAATCGCTCGCTTTCTCTGATTCTCTGACTACGTTTCACAACAGTTTTTCACAATATGTGTGAAGGGTCGATGAAGTCACAAACCGATCAACCGGATCAAATTAAGTCTCATATGATTGAGCTGAGCTCGGGCTTTGGCTTACGCCTATATTAAGGCGGGCTTTCTGCTGTTTAGGCTGAGATAGAGGCGGATACTTGGGGTTAAGGTCACGCTCATGGAGATAGCGGGCTAAATCGACCTGGGTGATTTTTGGGTACTTGTGCTGTTTAGTCCCTCCACCCGTACGCAATATCACGCGCGCGTGCGCGTAGCCACGCCTACTGGATAAGCCTAAGCCTGAGCCTAAGCCTAAGCCTAAGCCATAAGCCTAAGCCTAAGCCTAAGCCTAAGCCTAAGCCTAAGCCTAAGCCCCCTAAGCCTAAGCCTAAGCCTAAGCCTAAGCCTAAGCCTAAGCCTTAGCCTAAGCCTAAGCCTAAGCCTAAGCCTAAGCCTGATGCCGAAGTCAGCGTAACAGAATGGGTGTGGCCTAAAGCGCGTATGACAACGTGCGGCGGTGTTGTTGAAAGCGCAAATGGTGTCTGCGTGCGGGTGGAGGGACTAAACAGCACAAGTGCCGATTTTTGTAGTTTGCCGAGTAGTCGTTTCTCTTTGCTCTTTTTAACGAATTTTCCATATTCTCAATTGTTTTTCAATCAGTGAAGCGTGGAAACTTTGTAAATGCATCTTTGAAAATGCTCTTTGAGAGTAATTTGGATGAATATGTTTATGCGTGATGCAGTACCAATTGCGTTGAAAAGAATAAGCGTGCAAACGAATTAATTCTCTTTGAGACTGACATATTCTCGAGTTTAATTTTATGGCTGCTTCGTAACAATAAAGATGACTGTACAACGCTATCAAATAGTTTCCCATCGTCCGATGTGTTTCTGGTCTGCACTGGACACGGAAGAATGGCTCAAGAAGAAACGTCCCAAGTTGGCCTTCAAATATGCTCATCTCTTCCTGAAACATCACATTACAGGTGAAGGATCCCATAGCTTTTTGGTTTGCATCAACGGTTGTTTACGAATTGCTGCGATTGAAGTGTCGATCAACAAGCACTCATGTCACCGGAAATGTTGTCGTTTATGAAAGAGTATGATAGGATAATGATAATTTGAAGTTCTCGTTACAGGATAGAGGAACAAGCTCATAGCAGTATTTCATTTTCAGGTCGAGTTCTTGTAGAGATTACCGATGACCAACTTAACGAGATTGGTGTAGAAGATTTTCAAGATAGGTTCGTTCGTATCTCTATTTTTTATTTGAATCTTCTCATCTAATCACTCCGATGTCATCACTAGAGCGATAAAAAATACTGATTCATAAAGTTTTGCGCTACATTCAATCTGTCGTTGTCCAAACTTCCAGAAAAATTCGGCTTCTGTTCCAACATAAACAATCTCATTGGAATAAATTTCAGGCAAGATCTTTATGTTGAAATTCGAAAGTGTAAACTGTTTAGTGATTTGGACGAACTGATGAAATTATCAAAAAGTCCGTTCTGTTGGTATCGACCCAAGTGATTTGTTTGTTGGACTGATTAATATATTCATCCCTATATGTTTAATGTATTCATTCCTTCATGCTGTATGGTCGTATTCTCATTAATGAAAAGCTTATGTACTGCACGCTTTAAATTATTCATTCAAGATGATTGTGCTCTGTCCTATCATTGAGATTTCGTTCATAAATATGCCAATTATAAAATTGTTTATCGTTTTCAAGATTTGTTGCTGGTGTAGGGCAGGGAGTTGGTTTAGTATAAATAAGAAGTGTCCTACAACGTGAACATCACATCGAACGAATTATGCTTGCTACGAACCAACAACGTTATGTCGAAACGAATGCAATCACTGTTCATTACTAATGTTATTACGAGCGAACATCATTCACTTTTTTCAATAGAAATCGCACATTTTCTTATTCTACAATTGCGTTATTTATTTATTTTTATACGTTTATAGTGACAGAAATTCGATCTTTGCTTTCTGGCATTTTTCCAGTAGCAGCAAACGACTGCAATTTAAGGAGAAAAACTGATGAGTTGTTTGATGAATGAATGATTGACCGGAAAAGGGAAAAAGATTTGCATCGATTAGAAAGTATTTCAGTCGCGGTGATTGAATTGGAATTGCTTTGGAAAGAAGAGATAGCTTCATACATATATTTGTATGTGCATAAGATAAGGAGTTCATCAATATAAATAAAGGGTCTTATCGATGTAACGTGTTTTTAGCAATCAACTTGCACAGAAAAGTGCGTACACACAGCAGTATATTGATAAACGAGCAGAATTGTTGATTTATTCATTGATACGTTAATAAGGAAACAAACTGATTGGTTTGATTTGATTAGATTGTGTTACGTAATTGTTAGATTGATTTTAAATGTGTGTTTGTTGTGTTGTATATACATTAGTGTCATGATCGTTTTCATTCTTCAACATTTCAAATATCCGAATAAAGAATTAATTCAGCAGCAATATTTCCTTGTTACTTTCACTGCAGAAACCATCTATTCCGTTTTGATTTCGTTAAAATGTTATCGTTCTAAGTTTCGTGGGAAGAGTAAACTTTCTTCATTCTCTAGTCATTCATTTTCAGTTTTTTATGACCTTAAGGTTGAAATTAATCCATAAGAATGGATAAAATGAAAGAAGGTTTGCAGCGACGAGCGCGTCGAATGCAAGAAAATATACAGCAGTCAGTTGGACTGTAAGTTGGATTATTTCATCATTACGTTTCATGCTTTCATCATAAACTCTTTTCACAGAGCATCGTCATAGAATCAGTCGTCATTCCGTTTTTACGGAAGTTATGCCTATGCATTTGATTACTTCATCCACCAACACTTATAATCGTAAATTGAAGTTCCGAAAAAAGAGATGAACTGCAAAATGTTACACATTTGGAACAAAGAAATCAAAAAATCGTAAGTGCTATCAAGAATACCCGTCAAAATCTGCAGTCTTGTATACGAAGCGGTAGTAAAGAGGATACACTTGATAAGCGAAAGGTTCGTTTCGTTTTGGTTCAGTTCTTATTGTTATTGTTATTAGTCCATAAGAAACAACGAAGCATGAATGACTGCAAAATGATATATGAAATTGAAGCGTCGAGTGGAAGAGTATGGATTGTGGCAGCAGTTACATTCGGATGCAAAAGAGGTCGAGAATGCATTTCCAAGAGATGAACCACCTTTATTAGCTAATATATTGCGAATGTACGGTGAGGTGATCGGAGCGATCATCGAAGAAAAAGTTCTTACTGAACAATTGATCGAGAAGAAGTATTGTCTTTTGAAGTTTCACGGTTATTGCTCATCAGTGCCATTCAAGAGGAATGATGTGTTGTTTTATTGAAGTGTTATTGATGCATTCACGAAGTATATCGAGGAAGAAAAGGCACTCTCAAAGGCCAAAGAGAAACTAACACGCACGGCAGTAGATGCAGAGGTGTGTCGGAAAAGGCGTCAAGCAACTCATGATGAAGTGAAAGCGCACGACATTCAGGATGAATATGATAAGTTGCAAATTAAACTCGATAATTGCAAGGTTATTGTTTATTTATTCATTCATTCTTTCATTTCGAACATAACTTATATTCAAATTAAAGGATATTGTGTACGCGGATATTTATTCACTCGCTTCAAAAGAAGCTGAAATGGGAATCGTATTTAAAGATTTAGTTGATGCTCAAATTGAATACCACCGACGTGCTCTGCAAAAATTCGAAAACATTCTCCCGGACATTGACCGAAAAATAGGTTTGATGTTTGTTTATTCATTATACAAAATGTTCTATATGCTTCAAGTAGAATTTTCTTTGATATTATTAACTATTTAATGGAATATGAATGTTGCATTATTTATTGTAGCGTCGTATTCTCGTCGACCAGTGTTCGGTTGTCATTTGGAGGATCATTTACGTCATACAAACCGTTCAATTGCTACTGTTCTAGAAGTCTGTTGTTCGGCATTGAAACGCTACGGTTTTAATGAAAAGGTTGATTCTTTTTGAAATTGGTATAATTATTGTAATAATGAAGTGCGAAATGATTGTAACTGAAGGGTTTATTCCGAGTGAATGGTCATAACAATCGTATTCGACGTCTGAAATGTGCATTTGATGCACATCAAATAACTGCACAGTCAACCGAATTAAGTGAATATATCAATGATCCGCATTCGATTTGTTCCGTTTTGAAATGTTACCTTCGAGAGTTACCTGAACCTTTAATGACACATCAGTTGCACTCTCAATGGGTTCATATTGCAAGGTTTGTCTTAGTTGTCAAAAGCTTTTATTCAAATAATTTATCTCATTTGAATTTAATTTATTGATATTATATTCACAGAATGGATGCAGATCATAGATATGATGCTATCAAGAAGTTGTTACCGTCACTTCCTGAAGATAATCGTCGTAATCTGGCGTATTTGATTCATTTTTTGAAACTGATGCTCAATCATCAAGATCAAACTATGTTTGTTATGTTGTTTCATTTCTTCTTCTTTGATTGCTTTTGAGAAGAGAAGTAAAAAATTGATTTTTTGTAATTATATTCAAATACGGTCTGTACAGTATGTGATTAATGAATGCTTCTTGATGGTTACACCGTGTAACAAAAAAACACTAAGCATGGAATTAATATTGCTTGGCATAGTTTTTTGTGTGGAATCCATAAATGAACTTTTTTTTCATCATTACATGCAGTTATTTTGCAAATTAGCATCAAAGTCCGGACGATGACCAAAAAGCATAAATTTGATTGCCTGAGAAAGTTGACATCATTGCGTAAGCCGAAGAGTACGCAGTTAGATATACAGAATTTAAAATACAGTTAGTTCCACTTCTCCCCATCACCCACCGTTGTGTTGCTATTTCAGTAAATGTTTTTTTTTCGAAGTTGACAGTGGTATCTCTAACCAACAGATCATATTTGCGTTTTTTGCATAGTCTTGTTAAGTTAGTTATGATGTGTGGATTTATTAAATGTGTGCTTGATTATAGGCATATCGCTGAAACTAGTGAACAATAAATAAAGTAATTTTTCAGGATGAATGTTGGAAATTTATCGATTGTTTTTGGGCCGAATCTAATTGATGGAGGAACGGAAACACAATCGGAAACTATGCTTGGTTCAAAGCTTGTTGAGACACTTCTCATTAATGTGGATAAATTCTTTCCGAAAGGTTAATTGCGTTGTTGAATTTATTTGCTTATCAGCTCTTGTTCAGGGGTTGAGTTTTAATGCAGTTTCAATTAATGCTAGTTGTTATTTTCAGATAAATTCAATTTCAATTTTGATTCACCTTTAACAGATTCGTTTAATCAGCGTCTGACTGATTTGAGTGGTGGCTTCGAAGCGAACGAACGAACTGCCACCCCTCAGCGTTCCATTCAGCAGTCACCAAACACCACAGATAACAGCAGCAACTCCACAATTGGGTAGCAGTTCGCTTGATTTTTCGATAACTTAGTTTTGTGGTAGTGTTACAATCGATTGGAACTGCGCGGTGAATGAAGAAATGAAATACTAATAACAAAAAGTTTAGGAGTACAGCTCCAGTGGCAGCAAAGTCAAGAACTGAAGTAGCATGTGAGAAACAAGCAGCATCATCAACTCCATCTCTCACTAGACCCAGGTGTCCCGCACCTCCCCCTCCTTTTCGCCAACAATCATCAAATATCACCAGTGCAATCTCGTCAAGTCTAGAGCATTTAAATACGTCCTTAATGGGCAAAAGCCAGTTCAGTGATTCGTCATCGAACGATTCTATGGCTGAATATGCATATAGTAACCCCTGTGCAGCCAATGATAACTCGAGTGCTATAAAGGACTTGATCAATTCATCAGGTCTGTTAAAGCTGGATGTAGATGAATCGTCATCGATAATGAGTCGTTCATTGAACGAACAGCAATTACCACGTCCAAACAGACCACCACCTCCCCAATATCATCAGTCATCACTAAAAAAAAATCGCTCATCAAATGATGATAATAAAGCGTCAGTCTTCGCAAATCGACCGCTTTCCTATATGAATGCCATCGACTCATTATCGCAACAGCAAAACATCACAACCACGAGCGCACCACCTCGAACCACCACGTCAATCAATAATAATTATCAAAAAACATCCATTATCACAATAAACAGTGCTGATTATCCTTCTCAACAGTCAACAACAATTACTAAACCACATTTACCAGTAAAACCTCGAACAACAACTGCGTCACTTAATAACGAAATCACGAAACTTTAGTTGTATTGTATTAATCATTGAATATTCATTTTATCATCCTTTATGTTTGATTTCATTCTATTCTTCCCAACAAAAATCGTTAGTTTTAAAAACTCAGCGGGTGATTATTAAAAGATGCTGTCTCATACTTTATGAAACTGCTTTGTATTTTATCGTGTTGCTGCTACTACTCTTATCTTATTTCATTTGATATGCTATTTACAAATGAGTCTTTTTTAAACGATAAACATTTTATGAATAAAAATTTTTATTACGGTTATTATTATTATTATTATTATCAGCAATATTATTGTTCATTTCGGAAATGAAGTCTTAACAATGCATTTCTGTATAACTTCAATTGGGGCATGATTAATTGTGCAAAGAGTTAAATGACGTGATTTTATTCTTCAAATGATATGTGATCAGCACTATTACTGACTCAAAAGTATAAAATAATGTTGATAATAACGGTGATAATGTGAACACTAAATAAATATCTTCATATGAATAAATGCTTTTATGTTTAATTTCTTTTACGACGTACTCATTTGATAACGAAAGCTGTTCATGGTGCACAGTGAAAGAAACGATATCTCGTTTTGATACAAAACAATCGATTCAGAAGTATCCATTTATAAGAGAATAATAATGCTTGCTCAAATTCACCAGCATACATAATCGTGAGTGTTTCAAGTTAGATGCAAGGAATATGGTCACGTTGAATATAACGAATGTTCTAACAGCGTCATTTCTTGTCTATATTGCTCATTGCCTTTATTCAATCTACTCAGTGTTTCATCCACCGTTATGTGACGATGATAGGCAGTGTTTGTTTGTAAGTTCATTTCAATAATTTGGTGGGGTGCATTCGATTGAGAAACTTACATGAGATATTGTTAAGCCGGTGATTGAACGTAATGCGGGAACAGGTGAATGGCCGAGGTTACAGTTGCGAATTTATGGTTCGCTCAATTCTCGAGCACAATTCAATTACGGTAAACTCGTTGATCGCATTGATTCTCTTGATATCGACGAAACTTTACGGAAGGATGTAAGTTACTTTTGTTTTTAGTTTATTATTATCGCCTTTTCCATTATCTTCACAAGAACGAAGCTGTTTTGAGGTGATCGTTGAATTACCAGAACAAACACGCAATAATGGATCACTGTATATTCATTGTTTCTTACTACCTCATCACTTTAAAGGGAATAATCCGTATGAAGTGAGTCATTTTGATTGATTTCATTTATATGTGCACTTATTATTAATTCATAGTAATTGATAATAATTTCAGTCAGAATGGCATTTAGTTGAATCAACAAGAATAACTACTTATCATATACCGGAAGCAAAAACATTCAATCTGATCGGAGATAACAATGACGATGATAATAATGATAACAGTACTAATATTGAACTAATAAAACAGGTGAACAATGAAATCTTTGAATTATTCATTTATTGTCTACTCGAGTTGATATTAATATTCTAATTAAGGAACGGATTCTTCTAAACTAGTTAGTGATATGTTTATTCATTCATTCAGTAAATATCCAGTATTAATGGTGTTGATTTCAGCTACGCGAAAATGGCACTCCAATAGCACATTTCCGTAGTGTTCTTCCGCTCACCATAGTTGCCGAATCACCGAAATTAAGTGCGCACGCAGTTCCACATGAGATTTACTCAGAACTGGAATTATTTAGTAACGGTGATTCATTTATTTGAATGTTATGATTTATTGATTCGCTTATTTATTTAAAGCATAATTATATTCACAGATAACCGCTATTATTATTGGCCAATCTTCTATGTGGACGATATGAGTTATCGGATCAAAGATTTAGTGCAGGTAAATGGAGAAATGAACTAATTTCTTTTGTTCTTACCAGGATTTTTGCTAACAGTAACATTATTATTACTTAAAAGAATGAAGATTATATGATTCTGGAACAAATGATTAAAGATTGGAACAAATCAGCGAACAATTAATATGACTGTTTATTATCGACCAATTTCGATTGGTAAATTGCGTTTATTGATCTCAACAGTCTCTTCGTTGAAGCAACTGAAACAATTTGGATTCAGCGACAATGATATTGATCAGGTATGAATTGATGCATATTTATTGAATATTTGAGTTCAATGCAATAATAAAATTGCAGGTGAAAGGACTATTTGTGGATACGAATTTTTATTTGTTAGCTGTAACGATATTAGTTGCTGGATTGCATATACTTTTTGATGTGTTGGCATTCAAAAATGACGTTTCTTTTTGGCGTAATCGAAGAACAATGGTCGGTTTATCGTTAAGGTTAGTATCATATCGTTAGTTTTTCCAATTGAGGTTGAGGTGGACTCTTCATCATTTGTTTTAATACTGCATTATTTCAATGATAATTTTTAAGGAGTTTATTATGGCGATGCTTCAGTCAAGTAATCATATTCATCTTTTTAATGGATCAAGAGACAAGTCTTCTTGTTTTAATTCCATCTGGTATCGGTTGTTTAATTGAATTGTGGAAAGTTACAAAGGCTCTTAAGGTTCTTAGTTTAGTTGCATATGTTTATTGATTTGGTCAGTATGAATGTAATAATAAATTTATGCACAGATATCCATCCATCGAACACCTACTCGATGGTTACCACAAGTTCATTTCGGACGATTAACTGAAGCTGAGCAAGAAACCGAAGGTTTCGATTCAGAAGCGATGAAATATCTGATCTTTTTGATTATTCCACTTTGTTTTGCCGGCGCTCTTTATAGGTTTATTATTTTTAATATTATTCTCTCAAAATATCGTTTGTTGCATTCAATCATCTGTGTTATGTAACTATCAAGTAGTAATGATAGTGATCACAGTTTGGCGTACGTGCCGCATAAATCGTGGTACAGTTGGATCATACAATGCCTGGCGAACGGTGTTTATGCATTCGGTTTCTTATTTATGTTACCGCAGTTGTTCGTTAATTATCGACTCAAATCAGTGGCGCATTTACCTTGGAGGGCCTTTATGTACAAGGTACTTTTTATTGCTGTGTTTTAGTTTGAACATTGAATGCGTGTTCATGTTGGTTTATCAATAATCACATGAATAAATAGCGAAAGGGGGAAGTTTTACTACAAGTGGAGTGGTATCGTTGGTGTTCTCGAAACAATGATTTTGCTAGTCTTTTCATCTAATGAATTGTAGGCATTTAACACATTCGTGGACGATCTGTTTGCCTTCATCATCACAATGCCAACGTCGCATCGTATAGCCTGTTTTCGTGATGATATCGTCTTTGTGATTTACCTTTATCAACGTCATTTGTATCCGGTTGATAAAAGTCGTTTTAATGAATATGGCGAATCTTTTGATGAAACCCAAAAGATCAAGAATGATTAGCATTAGGCTCGGGTTTTTGTGAATGATCATTGTATGATGAAGTTTAATTTATGAGTTTATTAAGTTTAATTGCTGTGGTTATATGATTGTGTCATTTCATCTTTGATTTGTTTTGTTGATTGTTCGTGTGGTGGATAGAATTCACTACTTAATTCTTTGATGAAAAGTCAATTGATCCTCAAATTAGTTGATTTGATGCATTTCTTTTTGATTTGTTAAAAAGTATCCATAAAGATTCCATTAATTATTCAGTTGTTGAATTGTCAGCAAATCAATTGTTGGCTTTGTTCATGTTGCTGTTTTTTATTCATATTCGTTTCTTAACCTTTTTTCCAAAATGAAATGCAATTTATGCCAAATATTGACGAATTTCCGCTAAATTTCTAAATTCCCATTTCGCCCATTATGCATGAATATACATAACATGTGCGTGGAAATAATGATACTTCCAAAAGTGTAGTTCCCAGCTCACAAAAAATGTCTTTTGGTCAAAAGCAATCTTTGTATAATTTCAATCAAAAAAATTGGATTGAAAGGTTGGTGAGTCGAATGTTCTTTCGTATTCGGCGAAGTAATGCACAAATATCGAGTTCGGAAACTTTGTTCGTCTCATCCTCTTAAACTGTGTTTTTAATTGGAAACGAAGTTAATCAAAAGAAAATTTGGTTGAGCGGTTATGCTTTCCGCTTTGTGTTTTGAGCAATCAACAGTCTAACCTGGTAACCTTCCAGAGGATTTTTTTTTGAAGCTTTTGATTTCGAAAGTTTTTTTTTCGAGAAACTTTGGGATTTCGAAAGATTGTTTCCATAATGGAGGGTACCTAACTTTTCAAGACGTGACACCCTGCAATTTCCGGAATCCGAGGATTACAAACTATAGCCAAATAATGCAGTTTATAACGGTTAAAAAACTACTTTTCAAAGGCCACAAATAAGCTGACCCAACTACTTCGTAAACAAAGTTTTTTAGGGCTACGTTTCGTGTCGTAGGAATTGCTTCTA